GGACTTCAACTCCCAGAATTCCCCAGCCAGCCATGCTGGCTGGGGAGTTCTGGGAGTTGAAATCCACACACCTTCAAGTGGCCAAGGGAACCCAGAAACACTTGGAAGGGGTGACCAGAAAGCCAGGGTGAAGGCATTGCACTGGCACCAAGAGACCCGAGGTCTAGTCTCCGCTCAGCCACTGAAGTTCACTGGCTGGCTTTGGGGCCAGTTGCCCTCTCTTAGCCCAACCTACCTTCCAGGGTTGGTGCTGTGGGGAAAAACAGGAGGAGGGCCTGCTGCGTACACCGCCTTGAACTCCCGAAGGAAAAAGAAAAGATTTAAATCTCTCCATCGAGCCAGGCGTTATCAAAGTAACAGAGCCGGTCGTAACTCTTAGACACGATCCAGCCAAACCCTGTTAGAAAAAAGTCTGCTTTGGCACCAACGGACTCCCCAAAAGAAGGATCTCTCCCATCCACGGGAGGAGAAACTCCTGCCCTTTGCAGAGCTGAAAAAATGGAAAGGCATTTAGGTCAAGATGGCATGGCTGACGAAGCGGTGCATGGGTTGGGATAAGTGCAAAAGGGGGCACGTTTTGCACGCCCCATCTGAACGCAGCAACGTGCCTGTCTGTTCCCCCATTCCCTGACAGATGCATCTATCATGGCTATATGGTGGGGAGCACAGAAGTGAGACATGGATGCCCGCCTGTCCCGGGTAGGTGTGAGAAAGAGTTCTCTAGCAGCCTCAAGAAATCTGCAGCAGTTATATATCACACCACTGGAGAAACAAGGACTTGGCACTGCCACCTCTTGTTGTTCCGTCAAAACCAACATCCACGTGGTTGTTGGCCAAAAGTGCGAAAGAGCAGAGGGGAAAGACGCTAAGGCGCTGTGAAACCACAGCTTTGCAATTTCCCTTGCAAAGTTTTCTTCTCCTGGGAAAGAGGCGCCTCTTTCTCGACTGGATCCGTAGGGCACCTAAACATTTCTTCTGAATTTCTCCTAGCAATGGTTTCAAGCGGGCTTGTTGGTTTCTGCAGTGACACACCCTTCCAACACTCAACAGCCTCCCTGGCTGCTCATGCTTCCAATCTGGAAAGCCCCACAGAAGAAGGTCCCACGGGGCCAAATGGAAGGGGGATCAGCCAGGGAGGCTGCAGATGTCACCATGTTCCAGAGCAACCACAGAAGATCCAGAGCAATTTCCCCAGAATGCTCTTCTCCATTGGAAGGCGTCTCAAAAAGAAAATTCAGGTTCCTCAAGTCAAATGAGAACATGCAGAACAAAACGCAGGCCTTTTTTTCCTGCAAAACACCAAACCCGTCTTCTTTCCTGTCTCCTCATCCAACAGCAGGCAGGAACTCAAACAGAAAAGCAGATATCAGCCACATTAGATTGCAGACTGTAGAGAAGCGGATTTCAGTAGCATTAGATTTGAGATTATCTGCCTCCGAACAATAGAACATGGGGAGTGCAAATGATTAAATCAGAATTCATTGAAAAAGGCAGGCTGATTCTGGAGCAGCTGTTCTGCTGCAAACGCCTGAAGGGAACAAGAATTGTCACTTAAAGCAAGGCGGCGTGGGTGGCCGGTGCGCCTCCCGCAGGAGAAAGTTCCTTCATCAGGGAACCTTACTAAGAAGGACCTCCAGAGCCAGCCACCGTAGTACAGTTTCTTCAATCTGCACTATGCCTTTCCTCCAGGAACTCAAGGTCACTTATGACAAATCTGATTTCATACCTCAACCCTGTGAGGTAGGCTGGACTAAGAGCCCAGGGAGTTTCCATGGAGGAGGAAGGAGCTGAACCTGGATCTCTCGCTAGATTGGAAGGGCTGGGTTGGTCTAGGTAAAGATGTTCTTCAACTGAGCAACACTCCTGGTTTCATCTACAAGTAGTCCTCACTGAACAACCATTTGTTTAGTGACCGTCTGAAGTTACAGTGGCGCTGAACAAACAGATTTACAACTGGTCCTCGCACTTAAAATCGTTGCAGCACCTCGTGGTCACGTGACTATGATCTGGGAGCTTGGCAACTGGTTCACACTTACGACAGCTGCAGCGGCCCAGGATCATTCTATTGCCATTTGTGACCTTCCCAGCTGGCTTATGGAAAGCAAAATCAACAGGGAACCACGCGATTCACTTAATGACCATGTGATTTGCTTAATGGCCGCAGTGATTCGCTTAATGACCACTGCAAAAAAGGTCATAAAATCAGGCGCAACTTGCTTAACAACCACCCTGCTTAACAACAAATTTTCCAGTCCCTGTTGTGGTTGCTAAGCGAGGACTACCTGTATGTGGTTTTCTTGGCAACATTATGAATGTGCTTTGCTACTGCTATCTTCTTCTGAGATGTTTTTCAGCTTCTCTATCTAGCTGCCAGAGCCAAATTCCCTGGTAGTCCCTCATCCAAATGCTAACCAGGTCTCACCCTGCTTAGCTTCCAAGTCCAGACAGAGTTTGCCCCTTGCTGAGCCTAGAAAAAGCATTTTGCCCACTCAAGGGTCGAAAGTGGTTTAACAAAGGCATGGCAGATTCAGCTCTAATCTCCCTTTTGTCAAAACTTGTGCTTTATTTTCCTGTGGCTGGAACAAAGGAGAAAGCCCAGGGACGAAAGAAATACCGTGAGAAGAAACCTTTCCCAGTGCATTGTAAAATCTGAAGGCAGAATTAAATCTCACAAAGGGAGTTTTCGAATCCTCCCTGGGGGAAGCCACGATCAAATGTCAAATAGCCAAGAAACAAGGAATCAAAGCATACAGATGGGCGTGGCTCAGCCCCAAACAGGGCGGGCAGGCGGTGCCTTCAACCGGGGTTCCCAATGGCGCAAAAGCTCCTGGAAATCCTCGGACAAATGCCGAATTCTCGGTTCTTTGCTGTGGGGGACGCATCCTTTGGATCCCTTCCTAGTGCAAAAACACACTTAGCTGCCTCTCAGTTATGCCCTTCTGCCTAACACAAATCTACTCCACCACTACTGCTACTGCCTTACATTTCAGAAGGTTGAACACCTGGAGGGAAATTGCTTAGATCAGCCAACAAAACTTGACAAGCTGTGGGACAGACTCGGATTGGAGGGTTCTCCAGCCCTTCTGCAGCACCTTCTTCTTCCGCCTTGCCCTCAAGCACAGAAAAGCTCCACTACAGCTGCCCAAAGTTGGCCCCCTCCAGATGTGCTGGGACTGCAACTCCAGAGCTCCCAGCTGCTGAGGCCTCCCGGCTGGGGCTTCCAGGAGCTACCAGCTGGAGAAAACGGTCCATGATGGAAAAGTGCTAGTTATTCGCGTGGGATGACCGTCTTCTGTGGCAAGGAGCAGACTCAGTAGTTTATCTGTTATTTTGGGGCTCTGACCCCAGAGGGGCCAACGTCAAGCTTTAAAATCTATTTTTACAGAAGCGCTACTATTTTAATTCTTATTTACAGGGGAACCATAAAAAAGAGTGATGCAACGGCTGCGCACGTCTGATGTTGGGATATTATAGTTCCTGTTTTATTTTTATGTTTATATCCCCCGCTTTTTCCGAAGTCCCTTCCTCTGATGCCCACAACAGCCAACCTAAAAAGTAAGCTGGGATTAACTCAGAGCCAGGCAGTGAGCATTAGAGGGGCAGAAGGAACCGGAGCTTGGCTCCCCTCATCCGAGCTTGGCCCCTTGGCCCTCATCCTCTACTGCTGGTCTCTGCTTTATCCCACAGCAAAAAATTACCTGGCTGGTCTTGCACGATCGGGTAGCACCAGCGTTTGCAGGGCGCGTACCGCATGCAGAGAACTTTTATGCCAGCCACCAATGCATACTGGCAGGGTTAACAAGCTGCCAAGTTTGCAGGTTGCAAAGAACCACGGCTGTCATCAAGGAAGGCGGAGCTGTTGAAAAGATGGCTAGAAAAGACTTGCGGGGGGGAATGAATCAAGAAAAACCAGAGCCGAGGCCCACAGAGGTGAAAAAGGAACGGTGCAGTGGGAGAACGAGTTTATGGGGTTGCAAAGACGTGTGTTCCAGCCAGTTGGCGTGGAAGATCCATCTGTGGTGAAGGATCCCCAGTGGGCTGCTTTCTAGATCTATAGGTCTTGTTGCATTCCCCTCCAAAACAACCCTGCGAGGTCAGCTGGGCAGAAAGAGTGGGTCTGGGCCAGGAAGTTACCATGCCTGAGGTTGGATTAGACCCTGGATCTCCCGGGTACTGGTCCAGCTCCCCCCTCTAAGTGCTCCAGAATCTGGCTGGAGAAGAGATGGCCTCCTTGTCATCCAAGTTTCAGCTTTGGCCACATTGGTGCCCTCCAAATAGGTTGGATTATAGCTCTCCTGTTTGGCCAGACTGGCCACATCTGGCACGCACTGAGGAGGGGAAAACAGAACATTTAGACCAGTGTTTCTCAACCTCAGCCACTCTAAGCTATGTGGACTTC